GTGATCCGCCCGTCTCGGCCTCCCAAAGTGCTGGGATTACAGGCTTGAGCCACCGCGCCCGGCTCCAGCTAATTTTTTTATTTTTTATAGAGATGGGGTCTCACTCTGCTGTCTGGGCTGGTCTTGAACTCCTAGACTCAAGCAATTCTCCTACCTCGCCCTTCCAAAGTGCTGGGATTACAGGCATGAGCCACCATGCCCAGCTACAATTTTGTATTTTATGGTGATCTGTGGTTAGTGATCTTTGATGTTAACTATTGTAATTGTTTTGGCATACCATGAATCCTGCCAAGATAAGATGGTGAACTTAGTCAATAAATGTTGTATGTTTTCTGGCTGCTCCACTGACTGGCCATTTCTCCATCTCTCCCCCTCTTCTTGGGCGTCCCTGTACCCTGAGAGACAACAATGTTGAAATTAGACCAACTAATAACCCTACAGTGGCCTCTAAGTGTTCAAGTGAAATTAAGAGTCAAAATTCTTCAAAATTAGAAATGCCATCATTAATGAGGAAGGCATGTTGAAAGCCCCAAGATAGGCTGAAAGCTAGATGTCTTGTGTCAAACAGCCAAAATATGAAGGCAAAATTTTGGAGGGAAATTAAAACTGCTACTCCAGTGAAATACACAAATGATAAGAAAGTGAAACAGTTTTATTGATGATAGTGAGAGAGTTTGAGTGGTCTGAGTAAAAGATCAGACCACCCCCAATATTCCCTTAAGCCAAAGAATAATCCAGAGCAAAGCCCTGACTCTCTTCAATTCTATGAAGAGGCGAGGGAGGTGCAGAAGAAAAGTTGGAAGCTAGCAGAAGTTGGTTAATGAGGTTTAAGAAGCTGTCTCCATAATATAAAAGTGCAAGGTGAAGGAGCAAGTGCTGATGAGGAAGGTGCAGCGAGTTTTAAGGAAGATTTAGCTAAGATAATCAATAAAAGTGGCTACATTTCTGCCGGTCTAGATCTGAAAAAAAAAAGTGTGGCTACCTTAAACAGTAGATTTTCAATGTAGACAAAACAGCCTTCTATTGGGAGAATAAGCCATCTAGGACTTTCATAGTTAGGAAGGAGCAGTCAATGTTTGGCTTCAGAGCTTCAAGAGACAGGGCTGACTCTCTTGTTAGGGGCTAATGCAGGTGGTGACTTCAAGTTGAAGGCAATGCCAGGGCTCTTTTGAATTATGCTAAATCTACTCATCTGCTTATGCGCTATAAATAGAAAAACAAAGTCTACATGGCAGCACATCTACTTACAGTGTGGTTTACTAAATATTTTAAGCCCACTGTTAAGACCTACTATTCAGAAAAAAAGATTCCTTTCAAAATATTACTGCTCATTGACAGTGTACCTCATCACCCAAGAACTCTGATGAATATACACAAGGAGATTAATGTTTTTTTCATACCTGCTAACACATTTATTCTGCAGTTCATGGATCCCAAGGAGTCATTTTAACTTTCTAGCCTTATTATTTAGAATATTCATATATAGTCTATTCATAAGGCTATAGC